AGGCAATCATCTGACCCATAGGTGGCAGCCATCTCAAGCCAGAGGACGAGAAGACTCTAGCCGCCACGCATATAAAGGATTTATAGTGAAAAACTTAGTTTTTACGGGTTAATTTTTTCTTCTTTTGATTGTGCACGTAAGCAGGAGACCTGCGCCAAAATGCGAAATGTGCCTGGAACGCGGTTGATGCTGCGCTCGTGTTCCCGCGTGTTTCGTCGAACGAATGCCCAGTTCGAGTTTGTTGTTAAACCCACATGAAGAGCGATCACCCCTGACGTGAGGCAACTTTTTTCTTCTTCTTCTTCCAAGCGGTTCGTGATCACGGGACAACAATCTGTGTAACCAAAGCTGTGTATTCGTTTTGTTTTTCTTTCAGAAACGTTGCTCTGCATTGATATATTGCGGTCTCTGTGATTAAACGTGACACACACATGAAGTTGTGCGTCAAGGGAAGAGACGGGGCATTAGAACAAGTCGACTTCCGCGACGAATATCATTCATAATAGAGGGTTTGTTTTGGGTTAAGGTCGCGTAAATATATAAATGTTTCGTTAAACCCGCCACCACCCGACACAGCCAATTAGTAAGCTTTGTCACTTTAAAAAAAGTGGCAATTCGCTACTAGTACAGCACTAACCGGTGTGTTGGAGAGTAAACCCACTAAAACATCTACAATTCGCTACTAGTACAGCACTAACCGGTGTGTTGGAGAGTTCACCCACTACAACATTTACAATTCACTACTAGTACAGCACTAACCGGTGTGTGTTGGTGAGTTCACCCACTACAACATTTACAATTCACTACTAGTACAGCACTAACCGGTGTGTGTTGGTGAGTTCACCCACTACAACATTTACAATTCACTACTAGTACAGCACTAACCGGTGTGTTGGAAAGTGAACCCACTACAACATTTACAATTCGCTACTAGTACAGCACTAACCGGTGTGTTGGAAAGTGAACCCACTACAACATTTACAATTCACTACTAGTACAGCACTAACCGGTGTGTGTTGGAGAGTGAACCCACTACAACATTTACAATTCGCTACTAGTACAGCACTAACCGGTGTGTGTTGGAGAGTGAACCCACTACAACATTTACAATTCGCTACTAGTACAGCACTAACCGGTGTGTGTTGGAGAGTGAACCCACTACAACATTTACAATTCACTACTAGTACAGCACTAACCGGTGTGTTGGAAAGTGAACCCACTACAACATTTACAATTCACTACTAGTACAGCACTAACCGGTGTGTGTTGGACTTACAATTCGCTACTAGTACAGCACTAACCGGTGTGTGTTGGTGAGTGAACCCACTACAACATTTACAATTCGCTACTAGTACAGCACTAACCGGTGTGCTGGAGAGTGAACCCACTACAACATTTACAATTCGCTACTAGTACAGCACTAACCGGTGTGTTGGAGAATGAACCCAAAGCAACATTTACAATTCGAGTGCCGTGACGTTTCGCCGGTAATTACAACAACCAGCATCATCAGGCGACAGCCAGAGTTGTGGAGAAACCCTCCTCATGTTTAGGCCTTAGATGGCAGCGTTACAATTACAAAATTAACTTTTCTTACAGTTCCATTGACTGGAATTGTACGATTTGCAATCTGCGCTCAAAGACACCATCACCATGACCCACTCTAGTAAACAATCCTCCTGATTCTCTCACGTTAACAGGAAAGCAAAGTGACATGATGTGGTAATTCCCTGTTACTGGGCAGATGCAGGATCTGAGCCCTCAACTCTGCACGACTAGTTGACTTTTTTCGAGAACACAAACCGTGGGATTGACACGGACGTTTTTTGTTTGATTCGAAAAATCTCTTAGCTTGCATTCGCCTGTACAGTATACAGTTAAGGCTCCAGACAAATCGTCGGGAGAAAAAAATAAAAGCCACATGAATCGTTGAACACGCATCGGGTTTCCTATAGCAGGGAACTATGTCATTTTTGTGTATTTTTCATAAACGTACGGATGAAACAAACGATATTTAACTTCAAATCTCGATTAAACTTCAAATCTAGATTATATTAGTGGCTTTAAAATAACAGATGTTTTTTTTGTCTGTTTTTAAATACAGATATCCAACACTTTATCAACCCACTGATGAATGAAGGTCTCGCTGTGCAGTTGCCATTGAGTGGGGGGGGGGGGTAACTTGGCCACACTTTTCAGCTCCTTGATGTAGGCCATAGACCTGATTAAGAAAGCCATGTCCAAAGTAAATAATGTGAATCTGTTTGATTATGGTTAAAACAATACGTTGTTCTTGGCATAATATGTGAACACTTGCACCGGGCAGACAAAGCAATCCACCTTTGAATGTTGGAGGCCCTGCTGCCTGCTTCTAAGGCCTTGCCAACCTTCCTTAAATAGCTGCTTGTTAGCGGCACTTACGCATACTGTCCATGAAAACAAGGGACATTGGCCCCGTTGAAACTCCTTCAGGAGATGTCTACATTGCAATGGTCACGCTCCATTAGGAGTACCACCTCTCTGCTGTTGTACAGATCTGGAAGCACCTCTAAAATTCTTACCTATGGTCTCCAAACCCCATGTGCTTACCCCCCCTTGCAGTATGCCACGCTTATTAAACTGTTGACCGATTAATAATCAATACGACGATGGCATGAGAGTGCAGATGACCCGATTTGTGGAAGAAGTGTACGGCCGCTGTCTTGGGAGAGGCCGATTGCTGGTCCCAGGTCTGGGATCGAATGTTCCAAAGGGCGTTAAGTACGTACGCGTCTCTCTGTGGCTCTCTCAATTACTCTTTATTCACAGCTCACGCCGTGCAAACGCGCAGGGCAAAATATGTCCTATACAACAGAGCCCCCATTGTTCCAACTGCTCGCAACAACATTATCCAAACTCTTTTCCTGCCTTCTGGTCATATCCACGGATCCAAACTTTGCACCGGGTTGTCATCCAGTTTCGAATGGAAAATTAAAACCTCCCCGGCAGCGCTTACCACCAAACGGGGAAACCCCTTCACCACCTCTCCACCAGTGGCCATTCATTCTTCTTCAGAGGATTCGTGAGGGGCACTTGAGCACTCCCTCCTTCCCCCCCCCCTCCCTCTTCTTCTTCTGGAGGGGTATCAGAGCTTGGGAAGAAGACACCAGGGGGTTGTAGAGTTTATTGAATTATTTTAACACGCAGGAGGCTTTCACGACCAATATCATCCATAATATAATTTTTTTGGGTTAGATCGCATAAATATAATTGTGTCGTTAAACCGGCCACCACCCGACAGCCAATTAGTGAGGTTTGTCACGTAAACAGAATATGTCAATTTGTTATTTGTACAGCACACCGGTGGTGTTGGAGAGTAATTACACAACATTTACAATGTTTATTGAAACAGTTTGTTGAAACATGCAGTTTAGACAGATTTTCATTTTTACTGTAATCCGTAATGTGTGTGGTGCTGGTGTCAACCCCGTTTCATATCCTCTGTGTGTGTCCGTACCTGAATCGTCTTGGTAATAAAATACTCATTTTGGAGAAAAGAAAGCCTTCGGCAGCGTGCGACTGCGACCACACAGAACAAGAACCGTGGGACACAGCGCGGACTCAACGCCAGATTCACGAACACGGAGGGAGGCATCGACACAGCGATGCACCGCTCCGCTCCTCCTGATGACCACTTCAGTGTGAAGTCCTGGTTGTTGTTCTACATCGCTGTTTCTCGAACTTTCTTTGGCCTGCGGGACCGCTCAGCCGATGCAAATATTTCTACGGCCACACGGCCACCCACCCCACCCAGTCCACCCACCCCACCCCGAGCGACATAACGCATTCACTCCTCCCTCGCCAAATACCAGTCGCACTAAATAATTCATATTACAGGATTTTTTTAATATTGTAGCTATGATGTTTTTCTTTTTTAGGGGAGGCATTTAGATCCAAGGGTTGAGGATAGTTTCCTCAGGGTAGTTTACCTAACTTCATTTTAAATAAAATATCAAAAGTAAAATAATATTTCACGTCCGAAACAAAAGGTATGAACGTTGTCATCATATCCGGATCAACCTACGACGTTTGAATAACAGTCCCGCGGACCAATCACTGGTGGTGTGGAGACCACTCTCTGAGACCCGCTGGTCTAGAGCAGTGGGTCTCGGTGGTGTGGGGACCACACTCCGAGACCCACTGCCCTATACCAACATCAGCAGCCATGCGGAGAAGACCCAATTTCTCACGTGGCCATTGAGGGCCTTCTATTCCCCTCCCTCTACCCACTCTCGCCTGCTGGGCTTCTCCCCCCCCCACCCCCCCACGTCAATCTCGGCCCTGCAAGGTACACGAGTGAGCGTTGCCCACTGCAGTGGTCCCAGACTCCTTCAATTGATGCAATGAAAGACCCAAGGGTTGCCCGCGTTTAAACACTGCGTTTGTGTTTAGTTTGTCGACCTTCCCCACACCTCCCGATCAGCACGGTTGGCTATGAAAGAAGTTCAACAACATGCGGTTAAAGCTGACGCAGAGGCGCTCTTCACCATTGCATGTCTTCAGGGACTGTCGCAGGGACCACTAGTGGTGTAGAGGTGAACTTGGGTCCCAGGGATCACGAATGGTGTAGAGGAGAACTTGGGTCCCAGGGATCACTAATGGGGATAGGAGAACTTGGGTAGCAGGGACCACTAAAGGTGTAGAGAAGAACTTGGGTCCCAGGGATCACTAATGGTGTAGAGGGGAACTTGGGTAGCAGGGATCACTAATGGTGTAGAGGTGAACTTGGGTCTCTCCCTTTGTCGACTTGTCTCTATCTCTTGGTCATCCCATCCCATTTCCACCCCCCCCCCCCCGTCTCCTCGATCCCAGCCGGAGAAACCTTTGCGATTTTGTGCGAGCTCGCCATCACGTCTGGCCCACCAGCGGTTCTTTACACTCCTGGAATGTTGTTGTTGGGGGGGGGGGGGAAAGACGTTCCCGCTTTTGTAACGCATGAATTGAGCCAAATACATTTGCGGTGAAACTTGAGTATAAACTTTATTTGTCGATGAATACTTTTATGCGTGTGTTTATACATGTTGATACAGTATTTCAATAAATGAAATTTTTACAGTTACTGTACACGTGACCGCAGAACAGCCAAAATGTGAACAGTAACGATAACCAGTAAACACAAAACAAATAAACTGTGTTTCATAGCCAGGCACACACAACGAACAATTATTGAACGTGTAAAAAAATATCAAAGGGAAATGTGAAAAAACATTTATTTTAATTTAAGAAAAGTGCCTTAACATTATTTGTATGGCCTTGAGTAGAACAGGCAATTTTAATCAGCAAAGGGTATGGGGCAACACCGCATCAACAAATGACAGCCTTCACAATGTGTGCATCTGAATGGTTTAAAACTGGCAGTTGCCTACTTTGAGAAAACTAAGCCTACTTGTGTTCATACAGCCCAGTCATCCAAAGTATGTGGCACATGGAATCTACACATTGGGTAGAACATTGCAGTGAGCTTTGTGCGAGCATTTCTAACATCCTCAAAGCACCAACTTGGTGTAAAGGTTGGCAAATCAACCTTATTTGGTGGCATGTTTGTTTCTACAAAATAGTGTGCCATTGAGATACAAGTACACACATATATATGAAAATTGATTTGTCGTGGACGTGTGTTTACATTATAAAATGATAAGATTTTTACGTTTATAAATTTTACTAGGCAAGGCCCACTGAGCCATGGAGCTCTTTTTCAGAAACAACCTGGCCACAAATAACAGCTCATCGAAGTGGCTTATCATGTGGAAATGTATAGAAGCCAAATAATCTAAACGCATGTTTCTAAACGTGGAGAGAAAACCCGGAGGAACCGGAGAAAAAATCCACATGACCACGAGGAGAACTTTTAAAGTCCAAATATACAGCAGGCGTCAAGGTCCAACCCATGGCCTCCTGCATATCAGGCGAGGGAGTTAACATCTCCCCCACTGTGGGTTCCTACACCACACAATGGCATAAGTGAGAGAATAAATAGTAAATACTGTCCAGTATAGCTCCACTTGGCCCAATTGCAATTTGGAAATGTCAAATGTTGCATGGAAACGAGTCAACTGAACAATGTGTTGTATAATATAATAGAGCCTATGTCTGCGTGTATAAGTTCACTATTCACGACGTAATGCGTTTTGTTATGTTGGACTGCTGTATGAACATATGAAAAAAATCCTGGTCATGTGCCTGGTCTCTGGGCCATACCACATTGAAGACTACTACCAATATTAACATAGACACGGTGTTAATTGAAGATTTGAGGGGAAAACCCAGAGCACATGGTGGTTTGACATCTCTGCCAGATGTTAGTTTTTGTCAAGTATGAAATAACTGAATTTTGCTAAAATTTTTGTTAGGTTTTCATCAATTTATATCTTGTTTGGGAACATGCTAAAAGCTTGAACTTCAACGTGGTTATTCCTCTACACAGCACCACTTTTTTACGATTCAGCTAAGGCGCCTTTAATACTGGGAATGAAATGCACATGACACGGTTAAAATTTACTATTTTCTTTGATCTCTCTTCACTGCCATGCTTTTTACTATAATAGGTAATATTTCTTTGAATACTCTTATCTGATATATTCTTAGCCAGTGCTGTCATTTCCATTCTTCTAACAGATACTGAAAACAATCTCAACAGTTTGAAATATTATAACTTATTAACCATGTTAAGGCTAGTGTGTTGTGTTTTTTTTGCATAAACAGTGGAGTTTTCTACAGGCACCTCAAAAGTTACATTTAAAAAAATGCTCAGAACAACATGTAAAAATTAGCCCACATTTGGTCGACAAAGCTTACGTGTTAAACTTCGCCCACATAATCTGGGATACCATCCACAAGAGTCCACTGTTGAAGGCCGCATGACAACAAGGAAAGCCAGCGAATTAAACGTTTTGCCAAACAAATTTACATTTCCCCCTAAATAAAATAGACTCATAATGCATGTTTTATACGCTGCTAGGTAACATCCTTGTTAAGGCGGAGGTCCATTGTATAAATGTGGCCATGAACCAGACTGTTTCAGCTTTTCAAAAAGGGCCTTGGATGTTTACCTTCTGGATTATGAAGTTGTCCACAATTGCTCACCCTGATGCGCATTGACGTGTGTGCATGAACGCACACTGCAGGCAAACATCAACTGCACGGATTCCGAGGGCCATAGCACGTGGTCTCCTATTATCAAGGACACACAGATAATTTCACCATTAACCTTCGTACCTTGCATATTGACAATTTGAATCTCCCTCGTGTAATGGACTACAACAGTGCTAACCTCCGCTCAAGAGGCCACCGATTTCTACGTCTGCTAGATGGAAATATCTCCCCTCGAGAGAGAGAGAGCGTCCGATTGAACGCTGCGTTACGTTCTGACGGAATGGTTTTGTATAGAAACACAACAGAATACTGCATGGAAACATTAGGTTTGTCCAGCTTTGTTCCAAAATCTCACCCATTGGCCACACGGAAATAATACTATTGTCACTAGTTTATACCGAGCAATTATGGTTATAGTACAGTTACTAAATACATTTACCTGTTTATTAAAAGGAATATGCATTTTAGATTATGTAAATAATAATAATTATACAGTGCAAATGGCTTGACAGTTCTTTTGGTTCAAGCAGTCTGCACCCAGAAAATCTCTTTTCGACATTTTTCAGATGTGGCGATGTCAAATGTTGATTTTTTGGCACGGTGCATGGTCCTGGCAAAAAAAATAAATAACTCCGTAACTGACAATTAAATTCCACGTCGTTACTTAGATTGCAAACAACGAGCGCCCTCACCGAGTGTGATACCTCAAACATCAACCGTTCCGCAGTGAGCGGGGTCTTCACAACAATCCAATCACAAGTGGGTATTTTTTTTTTTACACAGTGCTGCATAATAAGAGGCATGCCAACTCACCACAAAACCTCAACGTTAACCCTTCAACAACACGTGCCAGGATTTGCAGTGTCAAAATTGCGCACTAATGTCATTGCATCCGAGGGATCGCATCCGCAACAAAGCGGCCGTCTTCATCCGACGCGACCGACGTTTATTTTTTTCGCTTATAGTCCAACGCGGGCACCAGTAAGTCTCTCCGCTGCCCCCTAACCCCGCCCGCCACCGTTCGCTGGCCCCGACGATCGACTCAAACCCACACGACGGAGCGGAAGTGGGACGAGAGCCTGCGCGAGTCTTCCAGGTGCGACCCCACGAAGCTGCAGACATCCGGCTGGCTCAGCGAGCCCACCATGCACGGGTGCGAGTGCCGCTGCCCGAGCTGCCGGGCGCCGTGCGGGGGCAGCTCGTCAAAAAAGGAGTCCATGTCGTCCAACTCGTAGATGGAGAGGTGCCTCGTCTTCTTGACGGTCCTCGACTTGTCGGCGCGGCTGCCGAGGCCGCTGCCGCCGCCGCTGCTGCTGCTGCTGCTGCTGCTGCTGAAGCGCTTGCGGATCTGCTCCGGGATGGACAGCAACCGCGCCAGCCCTGTGGGCCTCTTGGACTCCTTTTCCGACTTTGGATTTTGCTGCTGCTGCTGCTGCGTTTGTGCCGCGCGAGCCGTGCCCCCGTTGCAGATGTCCGGCAGATCCATCCAGTTGTGAACGAGGTCGGCGAAGCTGTTGTCCCCGAGGACGAGCGGCTGGCGCGTGCGCGAGCCGCTCAGCAGGGCCTCCGTCCAATCCTCTCGCTCCGGCTCCTCCGGTTGCTGCTGCTGCTGCTGCGGGGGAACGGGCGAGCCGTCCTCGTGGCACAGCGACGGCAGCGAGCGCGCGGCCGTCAGCTTGCGCTCGGCGCGCTTCCTCTCCACCGCCCTCTTCCACCGCTCGGGAAGCTGCGCGCGCCGCAGGTTGCGCTGGAAGCGCTGCGGCGGCGGCGCCGACGACGCCGGCTGTCCCGACCCGGCCGCGCGGCCGAAACCCGAGTCGGTCGAGACGACGGAGCACTCCGAGTCGGAACGCGCGTCCTCCTGGTCGTCCCGAGCCGACGTCGGGCTCGCCGACTCCGACGGCGGGGAGGGCGCCTCCGCCGCGCTGTCGCCTCGCGGGGCGCAGGGGCCAACGCCGCTCGGCTCGGAGGTCGGCGAGGCGAGCGAGCCGCACGCCGAGTCGTCCGTGTCGGCGTCCGACACGTCCGAGCACACCGAGCCGGCGGCGCCGGCGGCTTTGGCGGGGGTCGCGGACGCTTGCCGCGCGCGGTGCATCTCGCCGAGCACGTCCAGGGCGCGCTGCAGCGTCGCTTGAAGGTCGACGTCGGACTCTCTCAGGCCCTGCTGCGGAGCGACAGCAATGGGAGGGGGGGCGATTAGCGGGGACGCGGGAGACGCAGGCGGACGCGACGGGCGACCGCGCGCGGGGATGACGGCGCCGATCGGCAGCAGTCGTCGAGCACGCATTTGGCGCATGCGCGAGCACGCGTGAGCACGCGCCTTAAAAAGTGCACGAACAAAGATAACAATCGCCCGTTTCACCTGAAAGGAGGCTGTAGGGGGCAAGCACTTGTAGCTCATCAAGGCCATATTGAAGCATTGGTTCCTTACACAAACACGTGTTAAATAACTCTCCAAGGACAGCCTTTACCAAACCCCATCCCCAAGCCCTAATATTAGCGCACACACTCGCCCTAGTTTACACCAGAATAGTTATTAAATAATTCCTGTGTTAAAATGGCACCGATTGGGGCACATGAGTATTTTCTTGCAGCGTGTAATTTTTTTGATTAATGGACTGTCACATATCGCACAACTCCATCTCTCTTAAACTCATACTGGGGCACCCTTTCCATAGAAGCGTAGAATTTCCACCATAATCTCGGGGCTCTTTTGCCATGGTGTAAGCTCACGGATAGCGTTAAGGCATTTTATTTTTACTTCCCCCCCCCACCACCCACTAGGATTGCAGCCAGCCACGTTTTATTTTACCGTGCAAATATTTAAACTTCGTAAACTCAACAACAACAAAACGACAGGGAACAAAACACTCTCTTACAAATTATACGGCTTCAATTAAAGCACCCTGAAGGGCTGCTGGATTCCATTGTCATGCTGCTGGCTTTTTAACATTTTGAGCAGTCAACAGGGAAGAGTCTAGACTTGTGTGATGCCAAACAGGTTTATCAGAGGCAGTGGGGGTGAATTCGAGAAAACGAGGCAAGGGGGATTCTTTCCAGCATGCATCATCATCCATCCCATGGAGGGAGGTACACGCCCTGAGGTCCCACCCTCTCCCTCCCACCCTCACACCTTCCCACCTCACCGCTCTAACATCAATTCCAGGGGTTTTTTTTTCTTCCCCCCCCACATCGGCAAAACAACTCTGAGAGCCATGAAGGTTAGCCTCTACCTGGTCGAAGAGAGGGAGGCCCTACATCCATGACTTGGCTGCATAGGGCATTAGTGGACAATTTACGCAGTAAAATACAGCGTAGGACAAAGATGCCCCTGTTGAGGACATAATCCATGAGCGGAAGTCACTACTGTATACAAAAGTTTTGCCACATCAGGTGGCACGAATAAGAAAAACATATATTTTTGGTTGTTGTGATGGTCTAGCTACAGTAGTTTCAGACTGTTGGGGCATAATGGTCTTTGCAAGCGTCTATGAAGGTTAACACAAATGGGCAACCGTGGCTTGAACCACACAAACTCTAGGCTTCTGATGTGTCTCAAAAGTACTGACGTTAACGCAACGCACCAGGAACTTTATACCAGGCCCAGTCAGCTTACAGATAGCATAAACAAAATTCAGAGAGACACAATGTGTATTTCAAATAAACTACGTAGGCTGATGTCACTGGTAAACTGTAGTCAGAAGTGCTCAGCTCACAGTCAGGTCCCAAGGGTTGATGGGCATACCACATATATTAATTGTAGCGATACGCTTTCTTAAAACTGGACCTGACCACGTTGGTGGAAACACAGAACAAAAACAGAAAGTTGTTTTTTTGTAAACCTTAAATTTGGCTCCCAACGGAGTTCGTGAAAACCCCGCATGTGTTGTGCCCAAAACGCGCGGATTTAGATCGCATACCACCGTGAGAAAAGACACTGCGAGGATCAGACAAGGGCTACTTCAAACCAAATATTATGAGAACCGAGAAACAAAAAAAAAGACTACAGATACGTTTGGTCCAACTGTAAACAAAACTTGAAGAACACGGGATAACAGACGGCGTTATGTCAAACAGCGCTCCGCAGAATAACTAAAGGCGTAAGCCAGCCTACAATGCGAGTGGCACCAGAACCCCATCATGTCCGTTACCATTATTGAACGTTGAGAAACCTATTCGCAATCAATGGTAGAATGTGGTGCAATGCATGTAAACAACAAAATACTCGGCATGTACTTGCGCAAGTTGAGGCCACGACTCAAATGGTGGGAAGTTCCAGATTAGTATGGCTGGGATAAGATGCCAAGTGAAATATCCTTTACAGGACAACCACTGTCTATGTTCAACAAACAATAGTACTTTGCAGTATGTTATTAACCCTCGAGGGATGATGGCCTAAGTTGACCTTAAAGATATGTACTGTGAGTGCTTTAATCCAAGCACAATCCAGACAAAACGAATTATATTACTTTGCAAAAGGTGAATATAACGATATTTTCACACATTACAGAACAATAAGAAAAAAATACAGCCCCCGTATTCGATCCACTGCTGGATGACGGGACTTGACGCACCATCGACACACCGTATTGGTCGTGGGAGGGGGGGCCCTAAGACAAGTTCAAATATCACTCGCAACTGAGGTTGGCCATGGCTAGGAATCAGACTCAGGTCGGCCGGTTCAGAGACGTAAAATATGACACGTGAAAGAGTACCCCAATAATGTTAACAGTTAAAAAAATCTCAAAATTCCAACAACAATAAACAATTGAGGGGGGAGCCGCTATGTAATCCTACATAATGCGACCTTAGAGGTCTCCATGGCTAAGCAGATAATGAATCTCATTAGCAGATAATGGGCTTTCGCCTACTTAAATACATCGCAACACAACTCGATTTAGAGGCGCACTACTGTGCTCAGGTTTGGATGAGATGGATGCCGGTTCGAATTAAATTTCGCTTCGTATCCGTGACTTTGTATTTCTTTTAAGCGACTCTTTGGGCAATTGCTGTTCGTGAGCATCTATGGTGCTGGCCACGCCCGGCCGCCTTTGTCTCCCCAATTGTTATCATGTTTACAGACGGTACCAGGTTACTCAAGGCCAGAGAAGTTTTCTGTCACTGCTATTGATCGTGAGTGGGAATCGAACGCGGCTCGCTGAGGTTCGTAGCGCAGTGCCGCGCTAACCACTGCACCCACCACTCCCCGCACACACACACAAGTGACAAAGACGAAGTCCCCTCCGTATAGCCTCAACAGACTGTTAGGGAAAGTTCTGTTAACAAGTACCGATTAAGACCGGCACGGTACACGAGGGGGAGGGCGGGGGAGTCAATGTGGCCAGCACCACACCCGAGCGTCTTTGTATCCCCATGCGCATCAGGTTAAGCACAAGGCGGGGGGGGGGCAATTACAGGGGCGAGTGATGACCACCACGCTCACGAGCAGCCAAGCCAGCAAGCCACTCTCCATTAGACTAATTGAAATCCTCCACACGTGTGCGGGGAGCGGTGGATCCATTTGTCTAATTGAGCGCCAGCGCCCCCCACCACACTTTCTCATTGCAGCCGCTGGATGGTAGTGGGCATATGGATGGGCAAGCAGATCCTACCACCCTGTCGCCTCCCCTCAAATACACAAGTACCACCAGACATCTCTACCCCACCCCCCTCTCTTGCCTTTCCACCTACCCCAGGGAATAGTGCGGTGGTGGTGGTGGTCCCTACGGGGGCCCACAGAGCAAAGGCAGACGAATGCCCTTGGGCGGCTGTAGATTGTGAATTTCAATTTGAAGAGATCCCGAGCAGACGCGGCTGCGACTTATTTCTGCATCACAAGTCTGTGATTTAACAACAAAGGAGGCAGCGTGTGTGTATGTATGTTGACTGGGGAGCGATAGTGTAGCGCGCTGCGCTATGAACCTGGCGACCCGGGTTCGATTGCCGCTCACGGCCAACACCAGTGACGATTATCTGAACCGGTCCCGGGCCTCCCCTAGGTCGACTCAGCCTCAAATGAGTACATGGTGCAGTGTGTAAACATTGCCACTAGGGAGACAAAGGCGGTCGGGCGTGGTGCTGGCCACCCACCCCCTCGTGTACCGTTCTGGCCTTCATAGGTGCTCGCAAACAGCACTTGCCCCTACAGTCTGTTAAGGCTATACGGGGGATATTTGTCTTTGTTTGTTTGTGACTGTGTCGTCTATGTGCGTAGTTTGTTTTGATTTTGTTTGACCAGGTGAGAGGTCAATGGACAAAGGATGAGTCCTCATTTATAGAGGGCCAGGGGGCAAAATAGAAAGTGCATTCATTGCTTTGGAGTTCCCCAAACAAATGGTTTGGATACTAAACGATCGTTGTCTTTATTTTACTAGGTAAGGCCCCCAACTGAGCTATGCAGCTTTTTTTCAGAAGCGGCCTGTCCACAAATAAAAGCTCAACGAAGTGGCTTATCACGTGGCAATTTTTCGCAGCCAAATGCAGTCCTCTCAAGCGTATGATTATACATGTGGAGGGAAAAACCGGAGGACCCAGAGAGAAAGAGAAATCCACGCGACCACAGGGAGAGAGAGAGACACCGCAAACGACAAATCGAACCCACGACCTTCTGTATAGCAGGCGAGGTTGTTAACATCTCACCACCGCGGCTACATTCACTTTAAACGATTCTCAGACCCCCCGTGTAGCCTTAACAGACTTGTCGGGGCAAGTTCGGCAGCTATGATGGCCAGAACGGCACACGATGGGGTGGGTGGCCAGCACCACGCCCGGCCGCCTTTGTCTCCCCAGTGGCGATGTTTACACACCGCACACCAAGTACTCATTTGAGGCCGAGTCGACCTAGGGGGAGGCCCTAAACCGGTTCAGATATTCGTTACCCATTTATGACCACCACCACCACACACACCAATGTTTGCGTCCATGTACAAAACTATTTTTTTATGCGCGTTTGAAAATTGGGGCGATTCCACATTCCTAGGTCCGGGGCCAAGTCCATCATCTATCGGGGGCGATAAACTTTGCCGACTCACTAGGAGGTGAAAGTAAGTTTACAGAGAACCCCCCAATGGGAAATTCGCTCCAATGATCACTCGCAAACCTTAACAATTAAGTCATATAAACGACCTCATGTGTACTGTAGTACACAGTACGCGTACACGTAAGCTGTAGTAGACGCTACAGCTGGCAAGTACAGCAGCATCACACGTGTCCAATACACCAACATCAGGGGGGGGGGCAGACGTCATTCAACGGCGTTGAAACGGAAAATATTAATGATTCAAATAATACTGAAAGAAAAATTGTCTCGGCGAAGCGAGCACGAATCCTAAACCAACAACACTCGATTGAAAATCGATGTCATTCAATGCGTACATTTTAAATAATATCTAAATTTACATATAGAGGCGAAGTTATGATGTATATCCCTAAACCACATGGATTCCTTAACCACTTTGATAAGTGTAAAATAGACGTTGCAGTCTGTTCAAAGCCAAACACGCACACACGCGCGTATTTGCTTTGCAACTATTTTGTTCTTCACAGAAGCCACTTTGCGTAACCGCTTACGAGTGAAAGTTTATCTCGGCTCGCGGCCAATGCCTATAAAAAGTTAATATTCGCGTGAATGTATAAGTAAAATCGGTGGACCCACCAACCAAATCTATCCTTGATAATTACACGCTAATGCTACGTTGTAACAAGCTGCGACGCTTACAAATGTTGTACTACTACAAACTACTGGGCTTCCATCTCAAACACTCGTGTGTGTGTGTATCTCGATATATTAATGACAATACACTGCACTAATCATACAACTTTACCGCGTCAAATTGTTTATCACTTCGTCGTCCTAGTATATGTAATGTCTTGGGCACGGCTTAGTAACGTGGAATGTCCGTCACCCACACCCTCCCCCCGCCTGCAAAAATTTTGCTTTCAAAATAATAAAACCCCCTTAAACTAAGCAACCAAGCAAGACACTTTCGCCTAAAATTCAACATCAATACGACCACTAAATAATGGCAGCGTACAAGTCGTTGAGTTGTCCGCTATATAATAACGATACCGTGCAGACGTTCACACACAACACTTCCACATGCTAACCCAGGGACGTTCGTTTCATAGTAACAACACAGCAGCAGTGGCATGGCTTGACCCTGGTGTAAAAGTCAAAAAAAAATTATGAATGAAAAATGAATGAAAAACGACGACTGAACGGCGCTTACCAACTCGCGTCTGAGACGCTCAATGCAGTCGGCGGTCTCCTCTGCCATGGGCCTCTCCTCCCTCCAAGCCACTCGGTCCGCGCGTCTTCACGCTCGCAGACTCACACCCAACGCACTCCCCACGCTCTCGCCACTCTCTCCACTCTCTCTCCACTCGCTACTCGCCACCGCCACTCACACTGTGATAGTCGTACGCCGCCACTCGTACTCGCGGGTTATATTTCTTCCTGGCCAGCCAATGGGAGCGCTCGCTCTCTACCACCCCCCCCCCCCTCTCATGCAGGAGCCCAAAACAAACCCCGCCCCCTTCATACCCCTCCCCAAAGCAGCAGCAGCAGAGGCAGACAAAGACAAAGCTCCCCCATATAGCCTGCAGAGACTGTGCGAATCCCCACCCCCAGCACAATCACACACAAAGACTCCCCCCTATAGCCTGGACAGACTGTTAATATCCCACCACCAGTACAATCACACACACTATACTACTCACACCAGCAGCACAATCATACACACACAAACACCAGAAGCAGCACAAGGACAGACAGACATCAAAATAAGACCACCACCAGAACAATGGCACACACACCCCAAACAACACCAGCAGCACACTGACACACACAATACTCTCACCACCACCACCAGCACACTGACACACACAATACTCTCACCACCAGCACACAAACAAAGATAAAGATCCCCCGTATTGACATAACATGCTGGCGTGGCAAGCGCTGTTAGAGAGCTCCTATTAAGGCCGGCACGCCATACGAGGGGGTGGGTGGCCAGCACCACGTTCAGCCGTCTTTGTCTCCCCAGTGGCGATGTTTTCACATCGCATCAGGTATCCATTTGAGGCTGAGTCGACCTAGGGGAGGCCCAAGACCGGTTCAGATAATGGTCACTGGTATTGACCATGAGTGGGAATCGAACTCGGGTCGCCAGGTCCGCAGCGCAGTGCAGCGCTAAACGCTGCACCACCGCTCCCCACACTCACGACGTGAACCATTGTCTACACAGCAAGGGTTCACATTGTTGCGTGTGGTTTTTGTTTCAAAATAATATTACCGATGTATTTAAACGATTGTAAACATGCTTGGTATTTGAATTGAGCCTTTGCTATGATTCGATTTGGGGTTGTTGTTGTTGTTGTTGAGCTCTTTAGAATTTCCGAGAATATCTCGAATTTGGCTCCGTATCGTGGGGGTTTGCTGCCCCTATGGTGCAACCTCAAGAAATCCTGAGTCCGTTGTAAAATAACAAAAACATTGCACGTGAGTGTTTTTTTTTCTGGGGTTCACCAAAAACACGCGTAATTGGGTTTCTTGGAGGAGAAAAGTCAGTCCCAGTTATAAGTACCACACACAAAAAGGTGTCTCAGTCACCTCCCTTCTTTCGACAATTCTCAGACATCTGTTAGGAAAATTTAGTGGGGTTTTTTTTTCTTTGAAAGTATACCATTGAATTATTACGAAACTTGTCTCTATTTCTGGTCCAAATCCCAAGGAATTTAAAGAAAATGCCCCCCCCCCCTTCAAAAAATAAATAGCACAAACAACTGTTCCGACGTAGTCAGAGCTTGTCTAGCCTTACAATTGCATGATGGGCAGTGGAATTTAAATATAATTACAATAAAATACTGGCACAGCATTGTGTGAGCAGAGTGGGTCAGCCGAAAAATGCAGTTTCAGCAAAATGTATTGTTGTATTCTACTCCCTATGCCTCCCGGTCCATGCTCTGTCTGGACCGGCGTGGGGAAGTATGGTCAAATAACTGCCAATGTCCCGCACAGCATTGTGGAGGCCCTCATGCAGCAGTGGATTGACAAAAAGGGCTGTACACACACAAACACGGTATTTCGACCCGTTTAATTGTACCGTATTAGAATTTCATGAAGTTATAACGAATATAATAAAAATATAAGATATTGAGAAAGAACTACTTTGCACGGTTGTAGTTGTTTCAGTAATATTGCGAATTTTGAAAAAGTACAAAACAATGTGGGGATGCCCTCATCCAGCAGTGGATTGACAACATGTCTGTAAAAGTTTATAGAGTGATGTACGATATATAATGTAGCCCGTAAAAATAGGGGGCATACCCTGTATCCGTTGTAGTAGTAGTAAAGTAGTTGGAAATACTCTGCAAGTCTAACTTTCACTCTTACTGCTGCATGTGCTGCATTGCTTACAAACATCGTCATCGTATAGCTCGGTTTGATGAGTCTTTTGTGCGGCTTTTTGAACGCGTGATTCATATGTTGAACACAATAGTGCGTCTGAGTATTCATCTCGTGAGATAACAACAAAGCGATAAACAATCCACACAAGCGTCACTTTGCCGCGGCCACGAAGACAGGCGGGAACCCTGTTTGGGCTTTTAACAGAGCTGGAGGAACAGTGCTGGCAGTCAAACGGGGGGGGGGGGGTCATACGTTGCGTTTTTTGCTCTCGGAAGCACAACAGAAGTGGGTCTGTGTGTGGAGCAGAGGAGAAAGCGTTGAGATACCCACCGCCCAACATGCGTTGCGATGATGATCCCAACTTGTAATGCGCTGCCACCGCACTCACGAAGTCGTACACAGAGACAGAGGAGATCGACTCAGAGGTGCAACAAGGAAGCACAGACAAGCGGGAATGCCGCCAGGCCGTGAGCCGGCACTATACCAAGCTCTGCGGTCCTCTATATATTAAGGTGGTATCGACCAAGCCTTCATTAATCAAAACAAATATGACTCGATAAACTCATTTACATGAAAAGTCAAAATATAAAATGTCGCTGCCACACTGCATTGTGGGAAGGTTTCTTTATTTACAACTACAATACCTGGATTCCATTACACCATAGGAACCCTTCAATTATAATGAAAACAGTATTAATCAATAAACTGATTTACATTATAAGTAAAAAAAATTTGCTGCCACATTGCATTGTGGAAAGGTTTATTCTTGTGGGAGGCAATGTGATAACAACAGTAACTACAATACCTGGATTCCATTACAAAATCACTTCAACTAGTAACGCACACAGTATTCGCTCACTCTCATAGAGAGAGAGATAACGACTCAGAGGAGCGAGGAGCGACAGCCAGGAAAGCAGACCACGCGATAAGCCAGCGCCAACAATTTCCCGAGCTTTGCCGTCCTCTATTTGGAGTGTTTACCAACACCAGGATAAAACCCACACATGTACACTGCGTAGTGAGTGTAGAAGCGATGATTGTGATTGCGTTGGTTGATTTATACGTTAAAATTATGGCACACGTTCACAAAGTATTTTATTTTTTTATTTTCACCAGCCATGATAAATCCACTGCTGGATGAAGACATTCCCATTGCAGTCGCCATCTTCCACGGCCCTGCGATCTGCACACGTGCTCTCATGTCATCGCTCCATCTCCCTCGATGGACGTGGTTCCTCCTTAGGCTACCAAATAAGTGGCATTTTTGTTCAATATTTCTTTTTCAAGGGATATGAATCATGACCACCAACAGAGAAAAGCCAGAATGGTAATTAGAGCATGGGCTCAATAATTGGGTTCTAATTAGCAGCTAGTGCGGATAATGTATTCAACTTACAAGTAAAATTAAGTCTCTTCGCTGGACCATAAATACTGGTAAAAAGGTAGCAATCGCTTGGAAATATGTATGCTGATCTCGATGGGGATAAATGTATTAAGGTTTTTTTTGTATTTCGTTTTGCATTCACATTATGCCTCTTCCCAATCCGTTGTCAACTCAAAGGATAATTATAAACACATCGGATTAAATAATTGAATGTCAGCATCGGTTTATTTCCAATTCGGCAGATAATGTCTCGTGAACGATGTCATTTATTATATTTAAACAAACGTCCGTTTAACACGACCTTGGAGTTGCATGTTGTGGTGACAGCATTTGTATCGTCTATGAACGGGCTTGTCTGTTTCCCAGCAGCTAATATGAGTGTAACTACCTATTCATATGCCCGTTTGAAAAACTGTTCATCAGAAAACATGTTTATAACTGAACTCACACAATCAGCCTCCATGGTGGCAAGGGCAGTTTCCAACTTGTAATTACGTATTCTATGGGTCTTTCGGTAAAGTCACGTAGATAGAAAAATAAACACATTCCTGTGGAGGGAGCTGGTAGGAACGTTGAGTTGCTCGGTCAATGGCCAGGGTCAACGGCGGCGTGGTGTATTCCCGAAATATGGCCGACTGTGAGGTCTGGAACAAGCCGGCGTGAGTAGGTTAAACGTTGAGTTTTATAAGGGCACCACGGGGTGACCAGCCCCTCCCCACCCAGCCCCACCCCTCTCACCCCCACCCAGCCCCACCCTCCCCACCCAGCCCCACCCCTCCCACTCCCACCTAGCCCCACCCTCCCCACCAAGCCCCTCCCCACCCTTCCCACCCAGCCCCTCCCCACCCAGCCCCTCCCTTCCCACCCAGCCCCTCCCCACCTTCCCCTCCCCACCCAGCCCATCCCTCTCCACCCAGCCCCACCCCTCCCATTTTTGGATGCACGACGGACGGACGGACACAATAATCCCCTGTGGGCTGGTGGAACCAGGAGGTTTCTTCCAGTATAAAAAAAATATCACGACGTTTAGATCGCAACACAAGCAATCGTCTTCCTCTCTCACCTGAAGATTGCTTGTGTTACGGAAAGACCCATAGAATATGTATTCTTGCGGTCACGAAAGCTTCTAGTCAAGATGTGTAATTACGTCTTTATCCGTCTACGGACGTCTCTGATTACACATTTCGTTGTTAAGTCCACAGTGCTATTGAGGATTGTGTTAAGCTGTTTTTATATTGTCACTGCATTGTATTGGGTCGATTTGGATTACACTAACCACCGATATGGGTGCTTGGTAATCCAAACCTTGTATTATGCACCGCGGTAGACCTGCTGCCGCAATGACAACACCTCAGCCCGCTGTGCAATGTGTAATGTACAAATCATATTCAAACCCCAGTTATGTCAACAATTATACAATTCCCCAGCGTTGCAAAAAATTACGAACGGCATTGTCTTAGCTGTGAACTTATAGCCGTTTGCACAATTGCTGTGCAACGTATATGACTTGCCAATATGGGATCCATTATTTTGATACAATGAATCCCATATTGACGGTGCATTGGGATTCTTGCATGAAATGCGCTTTACACACGTGAATTATCATATTATTAC